TTCAGAGGACAGCACCCAGATTATTTTTGTATCTTAATAAAAAGTATGTCAGGGAAGTTTTGGGAAAAGCAGACTACTCATAATATGAAAGTGTAAGGAGAGTCAATTAATGTTGACATTATACATTTTTCCTCTGTTAGGGGATTTTTCCCTCTCCCATACCACACCATCACAAGAATCACACCCACTTGCAAATATTGAAATCATTTCACCATTTACGTCACACTCAAATTTAGCCTTTTAATAAAGGTAACACCTTAATGACAGACCGTGCAAATCACGATGGAATTCTCCATCTCAACAGGACATTATACCCTAGAAAAGTTTCCCGATTGCCTAAGCCACAAACCAATTGAGTCAACTGAAGAAAAAGAAGAATCCTTTAGAAATCACATCTATGCAGAAGTCTGTAAGCAGTCTGTGGAGAAATTGATATGTGAACCTCTGTCACACATTTTGCCTGGGCTACAATTAGAAAATATATCTATGTCTAATCACAAGCTGTATACAAATTCTGTAGCAGCTGAAGTGACCATAAACTAACCAAAGTCATAAGCGCACTTAGTGGTGTAAGTTCTCATGAATATGGCAGATGTACTTCCCAAGCAAATATGCATACGATTGCACTGCAAATCTAATACTGATTTAACCACTGTTTAACTATTACTACTTAGTGGTACTAGCTTTGTATGTCCAGAACTACTAACAATTGAGTACCACTGTAGCGTTCAGCCCTGCCCTCACCTGTCCGTCACAGCTGAGCAGAGTAAAAGGAGCCAATGAGTGAACGGAAGGTGGTGCTAAAGGGGGAGTGGCTTGTATATAAAGGTGTGTGTGTGATGTATGGGTGGAGATCTGGGAGTCTGTGAGACAGTGTGCCAGAAAGTCAGTGAGAGTAGGGTTCTGTGTGTCAGTGAGTTCAGTGAGTGAGAGAGATTGATTAGCAACTTGTGATTTACCTATTTTATTTTACTGATCAAATAAACAAGTTTAAGTTTCAAAGTAACACTGGTCTCACTGAGTAATTGGTATTGAAATTGAAATACTGGTGGCAGCAACTGAGAAGAAGAGTGAGCACCTCCTGGAGGCCTGAGATAATAGAGGCTTCAGTGCGCTCGCTACAACCACCTACTCAGGACTATTGAAATGAACATTCAGTCATTACTAGAGCTATCAGCTAGCCAGAGAGTCATGGGGACAACTGATGCATTTGAACTGAGAAATTCAACTTCTACTGTGTCTTGTTTCTCTCCCACTGGAGCCAGATGTCATTATGTCCTTTTTAACTCTGGATGCAGCGGCACTGAGCAAGGCTGTTGCCTGACAGTTTCCCATGCCCTTCAGCCAATACGTTCGTCAGTTCCTGCACTTCTTTCTCCATTTATTTTACCTCAAATGATCACCTATAACAGTGTTCCCCAACCTTTTTTTAAGTCATGACCTCCTTTTCAGATATCCAAGTAACCTCCAAACTCCCCTGCCATATTTGCATAAAAAGGCATTCTAATAGGGTAAGGAAAATACATTAAAGTAACCTAAAATCTAATGCAATGGTTCTATCTGCATTTGGGCAGCCAGCTTCAAAAATTCATGGCTGAGCATTTGTTAAAGCCCCCCCCCCTTAATAAGAAGTCCCTTAATAAGTTCTGGGATGTGGAGGCAATGCAGGTGGTTTAAAATTGGGCTTTACTGAGAGAGTACAAAAGTTCGTTCAGGCAGGAGAGTACACAGCCAGGGTGCTGCGTTTGCCTAGGAGCCCCTCAGCATGGAACAAAAAGAGGGTACTTGGTTGTAGAGGTACAAATGATGGAGGGGGGATGTATGCGGGATGGAACTAGGGAGGGAAATGTGAGTCAAGGGTGACGAGTCTCCCTTCTCCAAAAACTGTGGGAACCCCCAAGAAAACACTTTGTGACCCATTTGAAGGTCACAACCCACAGGTTGGGAATCCCTGAACTATGACAATTGCACTTTTTCTTTTACATCATGAGATCAAAGTATTCTAGCTTTCTGTGTTTTTTATGATCTACAAGTTCCTGAAATGCACTGTGGTGTAGCAGGCAGAGTGTAACAGACTATGACTCAAAAGAGCTGGATTCAAATCCCCACTCAGCCATGAAATCTCACTGAGGGGAGGGCACTGGTAAAACCAGTCTTTAAATATCTCGCTTACTTTGAAAGCCCTATTAGGGTCACTATAAGTCAAATATGCCATGAGAGCATGACATAACATGATTTCTTGATTTTTACGAAGACTTTAGTTCTTCTTTGTGGTTACTAGAATCCTTTTTTAAAAGTACTCAAAGGCTATGGATCCTGGGGAAAAGGGAACTGGATTACACTAATGTCCTCACCTCTGATTATAATGAGTTGGTACAAAAGTCAGAACATGAATTAAAACTTCTACTCATAGGAAAAACTCTTTTACACATATGGAGGCTTTGTTTTGATGCAGTACATAGAGGCAAGGAGAAAAAATAACAGCTGTGGTCTCATGGCCTTCTCCACACTGGAGTATTCACTGAAATCTACATAAGCCGGAATCCTATTATTGATTTATGCCTGTTTAAGGAAAATCCAGTAACTCCTAGCAGTAAATTGCCATTCATTAATACTGCTTTTCTGGAGGCATATGCCATCATGAGAGTGCTCATGCATCCAAGAAAGCAACAAGCACCTCATTAATGAGAGGCAATTTGCTGTCAAGACTTAACCTAGGTTCTCTAATACAAGTGAAAATTAGCAACACGATTCCAGCCACTGTGTGTAGTACAGTAGGACCACCATATCCATGGGATCAGTACCTGCACTTTTACTTATCTGCTGCCTGAAAATATTAAATGAAAAAAACCAAGAAACACATGTTTCCAAATTGTATTAGCAGAACTGGCCACTAGAGGGAACCAGTGACTATGCTATTACTGTACTGTACAGCAGTGGTCCCCAACCTTGGGCCTCCAGATGTTACTGGACTTCAACTCCCAGAAATCCTGGCCAGCAGAGGGGGTGGTGAAGGCTTCTGGGAGTTGTAGTCCAAGAACATCTGGAGGCCCAAGATTGGGGACCACTGCTGTACAGTATAGTGTTCACTTATCTACAACTTATGGCATCTGCAGTGGGGCTTGTAACTGACTCCCTGCTGCTGTCCTATTGTACTGAATATTGCCTTCCCCCGCCACCTCTACATAAGCCGGAATCCTATTATTGATCGATTCTTGTTTAAGGAAAATCCAGTAACTCCTAGCAGTAAATTGCCATTCATTAATACTGCTTTTCTGGAGGCATATGCCATCATGAGAGTGCTCATGCATCCAAGAAAGCAACAAGCACCTCATTAATGAGTGGCAATTTGCTGTCAAGACTTAACCTAGTTTCCCTAATACAAGTGAAAATTAGCAACACGATTCCAGCCACTGTGTGTAGTAAATTAGCAACACGATTCCAGCCACTGTGTGCAGTACAGTAGGACCACCATATCCATGAGATCAGTACCTGCACTTTTACTTATCTGCTGCCTGAAATATTAAATGAATAAAACCAAGAAACACTCTGCTGCCTGAAAATATTAAATGAAAAAAACCAAGAAACACATGTTTCCAAATTGTATTAGCAGAACTGGCCACTAGAGGGAACCAGTGACTATGCTATTACTGTACTGTGTATAGTGTTCACTTATCCACAACTTATGGCATCTGCAGTGGGGCTTGTAACTGACTCCCTGCAGATGCTGCTGTCCTATTGCACTGAATATTGCCTTCCTCCGCCACCTACTATTGTAATGCTTAAGATGAATGTAGGAGGAATGCACTGCAAATGTATAAGGCAAGATGATCAGACAGGGCTATGGTAGGGCAAGCAAGGACCATTCCCTCCAAGGCTGGTCCAGCCATTAGTGGGCCTTCCAGTGCAGGAACCCCAACAGTGGCTTTCACCATCTATAATTCCCCATTAGAATTTCTGCTTTCCCCTTACATTTTCTTTGCAAACCATGGAGGGGGGAGCTGCTTTTTGCAATGAAAATGTAGGGAGAAAGCGGAAATCGCTTTCCCCTGCATTTGCAAAAGCTGGAGGCAGAAAGCTGCTTTTTGCAACAAAAATGTCAGGAGAAAGTGGAAATCACTTCCTCGCTGCATTTTCTTTGCAAAACGTGGAGGGGGGAAGCTGCTTTTTGCAATGACAGTGTAGGAGGAAAGCAGAAATCGCTTTCCCCCTCCTTTGCTTTTTGCAATGACAGTGTAGGAGGAAATCAGAAATTGCTTTCCCCCTCCTTTTTCTTTGCAAACGTGGAGAGAGAAACAGGGATCAAAACACTTTGATCCCCCTTTCTTTGCAAAACGTGGAGGGAGAAACAGGGATCAAAACACCTTACTTCCAAGTTTAAAACAACCCTCAATTTTTCCTTCAATTATTTTAGGCAAAAGTGTCATTTTATACACGGAAAAATATGGCACTGGCAATGACTCTCAAGAGTTTCAAACAGGAGTCTGATGTAGTTTGAACCTGGGGCCTTCTGTGTACACTCTGCCAGTGAGCCGTTCTGAAAAAGGAGGGCCTCTCCTTTCCCACTGGGAACTTGAACTAGCAGTGACACAAAGAACTCTCATTAGTTGACTTCTCCTGAGAGTCAGTGCAATCTTAGAAGGATATTGCTGTCTCCTGTGCTAACAAACACTCCTGTATCTTTACCAGCTGAGATGTTTAAAAGGCACTATTCTTTCCTCTCATTGTTCATGGATAATGCTGTTTCATATATTTTTCCTTGTCAGGAAGCCATTAAAGACACACAGGAACCCAAAGAAACCACACTTATATATGCAATTCAACTCAAAACGAAGGAACCGCAAATTAAATGTATGGTTTCGCAAATTAAAATTACAGCTCTCGAACAGTGGCTCTCAGAGCAAATAGCATGGATCCCCTGCCAAAAATCAACAAAACAATTTCTCCAGATCTTTTCTGAAGAGAGTTTCAGCTTATATTCCCAGGCACAATGTGCTTACCTTTGTGGAAGGCGTATGTTATGGCTAAGGTCCAACACATCCATAAGATATTTTTTAACATCTTGACCTAGAAAGAATGAAAACACAACATAAATGCACTTCATCTTGGTTTTACAGGAAGATTTAAGTAAATGCTTTTTCTGGTAATTATACAAATTTATAAAATTACAGGCTATTTTGGTGACTTAATTCTAGCTCTGTTGGCAAGATGTCACTATCCAAAAATTGATGATATGCGGTTGGTTAATGGGTTTGGCAAATAAATTCCCTGATTGTGTTCTTTAATAGAGACCCATTTGTTATCAAACATAACTTCAGAGTAGGCATCAGATACTGAATCTGTTCATCAGGGCAAGCAACCAATTTACAAAGTTTTTGATCAACCAGAAAGATACCTTCGTTAAATCAGGGCATGTCTGTTTATGTATATGGTACCACATGGACTCATACTCTGCAGGCAACAAGCACTAACTTAAAACTGTTTTCTCTCCTTTTCTTCCCCATGGGATGAATGCCTCTTTTCTGTTAAGTTTCCTTTCTGCCATCATTTACAAGTAATCTAAGATACTGGATTCACAACCAATGTTTTAATCATATGCAAATACTAATTAATTCATAAATTAATCCATTACAACTCAGGATACCAGCAAATTTAAGTGTGAAATATTGCACGCACTCTCACTGGATGTCAGCATAACTGAACAAATTGGGACTGTTTTTTTAAGATCGCACTGTGTGTACCTTTCATTGGGGGAGTAGATCAAAACCACCACATCTCCCAGAGGTTGAAACCTGGACTGCCTGACTTCTCCTGGAGCAGAGGTTCCCAACCTTGGGTCTCCAGATGTTCTTGAACTACAACTCCCAAAACCCCTGGCCAGCACAGCTAGTGGCAAAGGCTTCTGAGAATTGCAGTCCAAGAACACATGGGTTATCCAAGGTTGGGAACCACTGCAAGGACAGAAATCCAACAAATAGAAAGGTAACATCAGTAGGACCCCTTAATCAAGGTGTGGGCATAGTGTTGCCTGCAGGGCACATGTGACTGACGGCAGAATTTTAGTGGCCCCTGAGCCACCTCAGACCGCCTGTCCAAGTTTAACAAAATGGGTGAAAAAAGCCAATTCTGGGTGTGTGTTTTTAAAGCCGATATAAATAGCTGTTTTCTTCTCCTGGGCTGGGGGAGAGGGATTCCCAAATCCTTCCCTGCCTCCCCAAAATCTAAAAGTAGGCACTTCCCATTTGGCTTTTTAAATGACTGTTTTCAGCCAATTGCAGGCTTGGTGTAAACTGCGGTGTGAGCTAGAGACTTAAATTATCAGACCTTTCTCACCCTGCGTCAACCAAAGACAAGCAATGTATTATCCTCTAGATTACAATTCTCATAATCCCCAGACCTCATGGTCAATGGACAAAAATTATTGAATCTGTAGTTTAAAATATCAGAAGAGATAACTGACTGAGGAGAGTTGGCTCCAATCTCTCTTTAGCAACTCAGAGCTGTCGCACTCCACTCCTAATCTAGTCTGACTCATTAGCCTGTGGCTGAGATTCTAATTCTGTTTTTCCATACCCAGTTTATCCCTACCCCAATGACTAGCAGTCTTACCAGTGGATCTTCTGTCAGATCATGTTCTTAATTATATTCTAGAGTTTATCATGCAAGTTGTACCAGGTCCTCATCTTAAAATGTCACTGTAACAATTCTCCAATTTACCTACATCATTATCACTGTTGCCAAGCAAACTAGTTTGTTAGGAAACAGCAAATGCAAGAGAAAATGCATATAGTAAAAACAGTGACTTGGTACCACATTGACTTATCACCAGAGAGTCTGACAAAGATTATAAAATATAATTCTTTAGATCATTACTCCTTTTATAGGAATATCATTAAAAATGTAAACTGTACAAGAAAGTTAAAAATGTTAATGTTTTCTTAATATGAACTTGCCAAATATTTTTGTAATTGCTTAAATATCAGACAGTAATGAGAAGTAATTTCCATAACCATTGAATATTTTAAGATAATGGCTACCATTCTAACCTATAGTTATTCCTTCAATAGATCTTATTAACCAACATAAATATGTGCAATATACCTGGATTGCATCCATTGTTGGTGTACATGACATGAAAAGGATGTTCTCAAAAGAATGTACACTGTGCAAAAGTTTTGACTATGTTAGCAGTTTGAAATGATTCCTAATTAATGACAAAAGGAGGATTAACAGATTTTTAAAAGCTAGAAATATGAGTTACTGATCCCTAAATAGCAAATAATAATAGGTCATAATCCATCTCCATTTTAAAAAACTGAATAATAATACTTTTGTTTCAAGAGATAAAAAATCTTGGTTTACAAAAGCTGATGGAATATGATACAGATCTTTATACAACAGTTAATTCAGTCATGCTGTGTGGGCATATACCTGATTATTTGGAAGTAACCACTTATTAAATGTAAGCCCCACTACTCAGAATACACCTCACTCAATTCAATGGTGCTTAGTCACAGGTAGGTCTGACTGAAGCCCACATTCAGTGGGTCTTATTCCCATGTAAGACTGCAATTCATTTGCTTCTTTCAAATCAATACTTTGAGTCCATATATTGCTAATGTATCTCATTTTGCCTGTGTTAAAAGTTTATGAGCTGCACCTTTACCCTCATTCTTTCTCTCTCTCTTTCCTCCTACACTTATTTTGCACTGGTCTCTCTCTGCATGTAATTAAGAGGTACACAACCCTCATCCCAAGAGGATTTGTGCATAGCCATGGCCCTTTTTTCTTTAACCCCACTGCCCACCCCACCCACACAACTTACAAAGTTCAGAAAAAAAATCAAACAAGGCCATTTGGTCCTCAAAACAGGGCCTTGTTTTCATTTTTTCTGAATTTTTTAAGATACCGTAGAATGGCTGGTCTGGGCACCAACTTAGGACCAACTTGAGTTCCTAAACATCTTGGACTCTTGAAACCAGACTTGCAGTACTGAATATTGGTACCGTAGAATGGCTGGTCAGGGCACCAACTTAAGACCAACTTGAGTTCCTAAACATCGTGGACTCTTGAAACCAGACTAGCAGTACTGAATATTGGGGAAAGCACCCACCAGGTAAAACTGTTGATTTGCTTTAATTTGACCAAAAGTGGTTGTTCCTGATGGTTTAACTAAATTTTTTATCCCAATTCTGAGAGATGCTTGCCATGCTTCTGTTACCCTGCTTGTTTTCCCTAGCCAAACAGAAATTCTTTGAGTTTCAAATGAAGGGGGAAAGGGGGAAAGGAAGGGGGAGTTGGGATGCTGGCCACCTTTTGTGGAGATATAGGTCATAAATTCCAAACCACTGGCTGAAGAGGGGGCTGAAACCACAAGTGTCTTGCAGATTGCAGACTACAGCTATTTCCATCTAAGAAGCTGGCCCCCAACAGTGGCCATGAACCTTTAGGGACTTCAATGTAAACGTATAATTTTGGAGCTACCCATGAGAGGAAGATACTGTACATTATCATCGAAAGCTCTCTTTATTTTTTTTCTTAATTGTAATAAAGGTATCACCTGTTTCTGCATTTGTAATGTATAGATACGTGTCTTTTAAAAGTTGCAGAATATCCAGCCAGGATATTCCATTCCAGGAATGGAATGGACATTCCACAAAGTTTGGAATCAGACATAGGCCTCTAAAATTATCTAGGTGTGACCTTGCTTAATTTCAGGCCCACATTCTGTTTCCAAACACTGACTTAACTCAAGTTTAGTATTGCTATTAGGATTACTAAACTAATATATGAAAACTGCTATTTGGGTTCAAAAACAAAACAAAAAGTTGGAGAAAGGTTTATTTTTGGACTAATTTTTAAAAAAGGACCTGTCAGTTACCACAGAACATGTGCAGATGTTTTTCCACTAGAGATGAGCACAAACCATCTGTTTGGTGGTTCAGACCAATTTGGTTTTTGGCTGAACAGCTGTTGAGCACTTTCCAGCCCCGCCTGTTTCCGCAGGCGTCCACTCACAGGCAGCATCCTGGCTTCCCTGCTCCGCCTCCTCCAGGCGCTGCCTCTGAGTAGTCTCCTCCCAGAGGAGGTGGGGCCGGGAAGTGCCAAACACCTGTTCAGACAAAAAATGAAGTGGCATGAATCGCCAAACTGGTGGTTCAGGCCCATCCCTATATCTCACCTAACAATATATTCCAGGATTTCTTGGGAGGGAGCTGTGACAATTAAAGACATATGGAACCAATATAATTGAACCTATTAAAAATTAAAGCTGGGAATCCTAACCACCTAAATAGACACTAGGTAGTAGGGCTAGAATTCAATTAAAAATACCCAAACTGGGCAATGTAAGACAACTGTACTTTCTGTAATTTTCGCCTCTGTTTTTTTCTGTCCCTCTCCAGCCACAGTTCTTTTGAGCTTTCCCTCTCCTCACTACCCTAACCTCAGAAATCAGGTGCATCAACGTGGAAAAATTCATATTCTCATTCACTCTAGGTAAACAGATAAACTTATCAATTGGCAGCACATAAAAAGCATTGTTAAACTGTGTTACTCAGCAATGGAACCCTTCCTATTCCAGCAGAAGTTAAGTGGCTCACGTAGGCCAGAAGTAAAGGCTTAAATAGGTTGGTTCTAGCCTACCAGAAACCATGTGCAAATGTTTAAATTAAAGTGCAAGGCTTCCTGCTCCATAGGAGACCCTTAGCCTTGAGAAGATTGGTGTCTGCCACCTAGTGACCAACCACCCAGTGGCCAAGCATACTTCAGCAATTTAAAATAATTAATCCATTTATAGACTGCAACCTTAGATACATATCCACAGGGTTCTCTTATTACAAGTGCCAAGTTTTGGGTGTCTAGATTGCACGGCCTCTGAGCTATGGCAAAAGCAAACAGAAATGCAGAGAACTTCTTATCATTCTTTATAGTTATTCCTTTCATTATCATAGATTTGTTACACAGAACATGGAATATTTAGCATAAAGGGAGTCTGCATGGGTATTTGCCAAACTGCATCAGAATAGAGAGTCTGAGATGTATTGCACATTCGAATTATTCCAAAA